TATGGTCAAGTACAGGTCCAATCACGTAACGTCACTTCCCTTTTCAATAAACTTCCCTGGCTCCTGATTGCCTCCAAGATCAAATACAAAATGCTTGGCATTCAAAGCCTTTCTAAACTCAGCCCCCTTCTACCTTTCCTGTCTTCTTACATCTTACCTCCCAACACATACTCTTTGATCCAGTCACACTGGCCTCTTGACTGTTTCATGAATGAGACACTCTATCTTTTGGCCCCAGGCATTTTATCTGACTGTCCTTCATGCCTGGAATGCTCTCCTTCACTTCCGCCTATTGACCTCTTTAGCTTCCTCTAAGTTCCAACTAATATCCCATCTTTTACTGGAAGGCTTCCCCAACCCCTCTTAATTCCAATGCCTTCTTTTTGTTAATTATTTCCTATTTATCCTTTATATAGTTTGCTTTGTACATCTTTATCGGCATGATGTCTCCTCCATTCCATTGTAAACTCCCAGACAGCAAGGACTGTTTGTTTGGTTTTTTTTTGCCTCTTTTTATGTCCTAGCACTTAGCACAAAGGCTGGAACATAGTAGGTTCCCAGTAAATGTTTATTGGTTGACTGATTCCTTATCTGCAAAACGAAGGCTTGAACCAGATGAAATCTGAGGTCTCTTTTAGCACTAAAGAATTGTATTCTATTCTAAGATGATGAGTTCTCAGGATTTTGGTTAGACCTATACTGTGTAATACAGGAAAAGGAGAGAGAATAGCTCCAGTGTGTAACTGCAACATTGCATTCCCTAATGGAGTTACCCAGGATTGGCTGAAGGATATGTGTTTTGTTGTCTTGCGACCTCTATCTAAATCAAAGGTTCTTAACCTAGGTTCCATGAACTGTAATTCAACATAATTGATGTCCTTTGCAATCAGGATTCTATGTGTTTTATTTTATGTACTATAAAACTTTATTCTGAGAAGAAGTCCACTAGTTTCACCAGATTCCTGAAGGGGACCAAGACAGAGGTTAAGAACTCCTGGTCAAAACTAACAGCATAGAATAACTCTGGATTGGGGAATGTGTCGTGGGGGAAGGGGAATAGAGTTGGGGCAGGGCAATAGAGAACTGTTCACATGTGGCTGCATCTCTTGCAATGCAGTCATTGGGCTTGGAAGATGACTAGGTCATGATTCCTATCCCAGGGGCTGTTCAAGCCTTGGAGGAGGGGTGGGAATGGAGTTAAAGCCAAAAAAGATATCTCATTCTGGGTGTGTCAAAACTAGGCACAGTTTTCTTTTCCTCTTGCTTATTAAAACAAAACTAAAAAAAAAATCTCCAACAACTCTGAACCTTATTTTAAATTTTCCACTCCAACTCTTTCACCCTGTCCTGTTAAAACTATGCCCTGCTTCTGCTCTGCTAGGATTGTTAGTGCCTGAGGGAAAATGGAAAGTGTCTGCCCCTCACAGACCGTCACTCCCATAATAAACAATCACTAAACAGTTTGCTGCCCTAGGCAACTGCCTGGCCAGCTAGCTTTGGACCTGCTGCTTTCCACTGGGAGAAAGGGTCAGAGATTTTGCTCAGCAAAGTATATAATTCAGGCCAGCTGACTTTGTAAACTTGGCTAAAAAGGAGAAAGCCCCTTCTAGATCTCTTTACCAGGGGCACCTTTCTTTCTTTCTCTTCCTTCCTTCCTTCCTTCCTTCCTTCCTTCCTTCCTTCCTTCCTT